AGCTATATTATGGAAACAATCTAAGCGCCCAACAACAGATGAGTAAATCAAGATATGGTATATGTACACAATGGACCACTACTACTCAGTGATCAAAAAAGATAAGCTTATGCTATTTGTGACAACATGGATAAATTCGGTAGGGATAATGCTAAATGAACTAACTCAGAAGGAGAAAGCTAAATACTAAATTGAGCCACTAATGTGTGGACTATAGAGTAACTACACTAGGAATCAGATTAAACCAAGCTTAAAAAACTAACCTGTAGAACTGAAGCACTCAGAGAGGGGAAGGAATAGGAAAGGGATAAAAACAAAGAGGAAAGGGAGCTCATAGACTATGGTGGTAGAGTACGGGTTATGTGGTGGTGTGTACAGTACAATGGTAATGCCTGATAGGGTATCCAGTATTTTCTCAATTAAAAATAATTAAATTTAATTAAAAAAGAAATATCCTAAGATTTGGAGATAATTGGTCTCCAGTTGTTGAAATGGTAACAGTACATGCACTGCTGTTGGTTTGATGGGACAGTCCTGTTTTTCACCACTCCCAGTCTCTAGTGTCTCAGATGGTGTGATGAATTATAACCTCTCTATTTAATGCATGCTGCCCCGTTGGCTCATGTCATGTGTTTAACAGTTAATCAGATGGACAGCATTTATTCATTTGTAAAGTTAAGACAGGCAAAGACTCTCTCACTGAAATATTCTTTTGTTTTTTTCTCAATATTCCCCATGTGGCCTCCTGTTTTGAAAAATCTTTATGAAGAAAATTAAAAGTGATGATGGGTTTTATTTACAGTGCCTCTCTATATATTATGAATAGAATTAATTAATTTATCTGTCTCTCGCATGGTTTTCTTTTGAGTGTAGTTTAGGCTTCAAATTCAGTGGTTATAGAAGCACAAATCTCATACAGTATGAGACACATTGACAAACAAAGTCTTCATAAGTTGGGAATGTCACCATTTCTCCCAAGTATATAATAATTTCTTTGTGACTCTGCAAATACATCTAAAAGTTTTCATTTGTTAGCTTGATGAATATGCCACCAAGCAACACTACCTTGGTATATAAATCATTTACCCATTAAATCTTTAAAGAGGATTGTCAAATGTTTCTTTGTAGCCTTTGATTCTATTGGCTTTATGCTTCTAATATGTCAAGAAATATAGCTGATTCTCAGGGGTAATTTTCTTTTAAAACCCTAGATAGCAGATCATTCTCAAACCAAATAGGAAAGGTAACTTTCTTTTCTCACTTGGATTAGATTTACATAAAATATATATATATATATATAATGGCTGACAGAGTAGCTGTAAACTATATTAATAATTCTAAAATTAAATTAATAGTCTATCATCTAGAGTCTTAACTAAACAATTTTAACATCTTTGAAGTCCACAAAGAAAATGTATCTTTTGCCAAGTAAACAAAAGCTTGAATTCAACTTGGATTTTCACTGTTCTCATGTCAGATATGGCTCAGATTCAAACCCCCTTTGCAATCAGTGTTATGCATATGTATAGGGAGAGTTTTCCTATCCAACAAGTAGATTTATGATTCCTTTGGAGAAAAGTTTTTATTTCAAAGAACTAGCATCCTTATATGCCTATAATCACTACCTTTTTGTATATGCTTCTGAAGAGTGAACTTGAATACTCTTTTTTTATGGACACATTTGAAAGCATTTGCTTTCAGCATTTATATTAAGGTGACAGTAACAAAAAGTAACCTTCATTCAATCAAACATTAACTCATTCAAGACTTAGGAGCATTTCTAGTGTGTTATATTATCCTAGGCACTGAGCTCATAAGGGTGAATAAAAAATTTTCAATCTAATATGATGGCTGATTCATTAATTAATAACAATGTGAAAAGCAATGCCATGATAAAGATATCATTTCTCAGGTTTCCTCACCCTCCCTGGCCCAGGTTCCACTGACCTAGGAGTCCTACTTTGTGTTTCTTTTCTCTTTAATAAACTTTTTCTTTCTATAAACAAAGATAACATTTCTTTATAAATCCCACTTGATGAAATCTTAAGTGTAACTTGGTCCTACAAGGAGAATTCTATTGCCTAAATGTCATTCTCCTCCACTGGGAATTGGATCAATAGCTATGATTTAGGATAGTCTGAAGGGAGCTGCAGGCCCCTGCCTGAATAAGATCTGTACTTGAGTTTGTTTAAACCTATAACTCACTCAGGAATTTCGCGTGTTTACTTGAGGGGTCTTAGAGATCTGAATTGATGTGGAATCATCCAACTCTCATAGTAGGAAACTCAAGCTCGCAAAGGGCCCCAACAATAGACCCAGAAGGTTATCCCAACCAGACATGACTTGGGATTTCAGGAGATAGGAAGGACAAGACCTAAAAGGTTCAAGTGATAGTAGGGAAGGTGGCAGAAAATCATGTACCTTCCAGATACATAAAGAGTGAACTACTCACACTGGTCTTTGCCCTAGTGGATTTTTTGACCACTAATCCTCTTTAAATAAGCCCAAATGACATTTTTTGACAACAGGGTCATGGTCACAAGGTCCTTTTTATTCCGCTGGCAAATCTGATCTTGCTTGGCCTCACCCCATTCCTAATTCTCTTCATATTTGTACTATTTACTCTAAAAAGAAAGTGTGTTTTATTTCTTATAATTAAGGGTATCTAACATAACAAAAAAGTCGGCATTCAGCACGGTACTTAATAGAGCATGGTCTTGAGCAGAAAGTAGGTTGCTTGCAGTTCTGCTGGCAGGATACCCTGTGGCTCCTTCTCCCAACAAAGATGTCAACCTGGACCTGCATGCCTGTCATCAAAGACACAGCTCTTCTTTCAGTCAGTTGCACAGAGTACCTGTATTCGAGCTGCTCTGACCTTGAAATGACTGCTGATTAGCTGCAGTCTAATTCATGCATGGAGAAATCTGTGAAAAATCAGACTGTAGACTAGTCTGGTCAATGATGATCTTTTTACTAGAGGTGATATACAAACTGGAGAAACTATGTAGAAAGATTTTTCAGATAGCTAAATTTATTTGGCTTAAAGGCCTCTGAAGTTGCTTTTACTCATCTTTGATGCTATAGGTCTTCTTAGAGTGACAGATAACTATTTTATTTGTAATGTCCCTGTCAAAATAAAAAGTGGGCAATTTTATTCTGGTCCTACAAATTTTGGGGGGAATGTTTTGCTATGCTGTAAAATGTGTAGGTTTGAAAAGCACTGATCTGATACACAACCATTCTTTAGCATTTTCTCAATCTTAGCAATTTATAAACCAGACATTTCTGTCACCCAGCATTGGGGAGGATGTTTAGTATCATCACCATCCTGTCCTCTATATATTAGATGCCAGTAGCAACTTACCCCTCCCCACTAAATGTCTCCAGACCTTATAAGTATGGGTAAATTGGCCCTCTCACCCTACCTGATAAACACTTGTCTAGAAGTAGTAATTTTCAAACTGTGACCCTGACACACTAATGCATTGTGAACTCAGTTTAGCACGTTGATAGCAGCATTAAAGAAAAAAAAAATCAGAGACTAGAAAATATGCAAGGGTAAATAGTGTTTTATAAAAACTTGACTCCAGTTTTGTACATGGAAGCATATATGCATATTCTGGACAAAGATGTAACATTTGTTTTACTTGAGGTTATGTTTTTAAAGCTTGAAAGTTATTATACCAGAGACATTTTCAATTTTACATATGTTCTTTCTCTTAAAGAATTTTTATTGCAATGAAAAATCATGGCAAGTTGTAACTAAGTATGGGTAGCAAGAAGAGAAAACTGTGGACTCCATCCAGGTTAGTGGATGGTATCCTGCTTACCCAACCTGTGCTCACAGTAAACAAACTAGAGGTTTTTCTTGTCTTTCTTCATATTGTGAACAACTGAAGACAATGATTGCATCGGGCTTGCTTCCATCATATAGTCTGTACCTAGTAAAATACCTGGCATGTAGTGCTTAAAAATATTTGCTCAAGGAATGGATGGGAGGATGAATTATTGGGTACCTCAGTGTGTATTACATAATCCTAACCTGTATCCTTTAATAATGTTCTATTTGGGAGTTCTCAGATTTATCTTCCTTTATCTTAACCAAGAATGTTTTATGAAAACACTTCACTGCATTTTTTCCCTTCTCTATCTCTCAACCCCTCTTCTATTATTATTTCTAATGACTCTTTTAGTCAAGATAATTGTAATATTTCCCCCTTTTCTCTACATATTTGAAAAACATTTTTCTTTGCTATCTTATGTTTACTGTTAACTTCCACTAGACCCTCTTTAGAAGCAAGAGAAATAAGTTATAAACTCAATAAGAGCAATAAGAGCTCTTCTCTCATTTTCAAAAAATAAATTATAATTACAATTCATGGTAGAAAAATTTCTAGAGTGACATGTTGCCTTTCTAAAATATTACCTTATTTAGAATTTATTTTCAGTAACTACTTTATTGAAAAGATAACTTCTTTGGAGTCTGATTAATTGCTGTGTTGGGTAAACATTGTTTTCATGATATTATTAGTCTTATAACATGTGCTAATTTGTTTTCAGGTTGTTGCCTAAGCATTACTTGAAAAAAGAGATGGGATACACTTTAGAGATCCTAAATCCAGTACATTTTTAATTAAAATGCTATAAAGATAGTAAATTTTCATTGGATAGTTTCTTAAAAATGTACAGCAGGTTAAAGCACTGCACTGAGAAGCTTAAGCCACTTCCGCATGAGTTCGATCCCTGCCTGCCCCAGAGTAGATCCACATGGCAAGACAGACCTCTCCTGACCCGCCCGCTGCTCCCCTCAGCAGTGTACTTTGTAGATCTGCCTGTTCTGCTCCCCACTCTGTCCCTGGTGAATCCTCTCACCCTCTGCATCTCTGGCCTGTACCCCAGTTCTGTATGAATAAATAAATAAATCTTTAAAAGGAATGTAATTGCAGAGTTTTTGATAAATAACTTTATCTCTTAACAGATTCTAATGTTTTTTCTTTAAGGCATCATGACAGAGAAGCTTATCCCAAAGATTATGACATAGAGGGTCCTGAGAAAGTAAAAAGACTGTGCAGTTCAACATATTGGAGACTTGGAACTGAGGAACCCCCAGTAAGTAGTTGTTATGAATTCTTTATATATAGACTCTTCATCCTAGTGAAAATAGAAAAAGGAAAATGAGGAACTCTTTGTCAGTGCCCCTCTCTTTGCTATGTCAGTTACTTGGGCAGATGGTACTTCAGTGACCTTACCTATAAAATGTATACATTTCATAAGGTTATTGGGAAAAATGAGAGGAAACAAGCTAAGTACTTGCCTTCATACCTGGCATATAAGGGCTTAAGAAATTATTACTGTTGTGAGAATGGCATTCTTGCTAGCTGTCCCATCCAACCTTCATGATAACCATATGAAATAGGTATTATTATCTCAGGTACGGAGAAATGAGCACACATCAAGAGAGTGAGGATCACTTTTTGTGACATACTATGTATTTCCACTCCACTTATCAGTCAGATCTTGGAGGGACGGGGGTGGGGGCGCTGGTGGGTAGGAGGAGGAGTAGGAGAGAGACCCTGAAGGTAAAGAGCAGTGGAACATAGCCTCACACACCTACTATAGCCTCCCAAACCAAAAGCTGCCCTGAATTGGAAGGGTAAGAAGCTTAGCTATAATATACCTGGAAATTGTTGTTATTTCACAGGACTGGAGAATTTCATAACTAAACTGAGATCCTTCTTGAGATTGAGGTGTCCAGAAAAGCTCTGGGACTTGCCTAAAATTTCCATTAAGCAAAAGGAAAGAACTAGCCATCCATGTGGGTGGCTTCTACATGATTACACCTGAATGATGTAATAGAAACAATTCTATAAGGCAGTTATATCAGCAGTGCCTTCTTCATTCTCTGAACAGTTCTTATTGTAGGTACCATACAGAACCTGATTGTATAAGTGAGGAAACTCAGGCCAAGTGAAATTTAATCTCTTGTTCAAAGTTAGTTAGAATATGCATTAAAAATTAAAATCCAGTTTTCTCCTCTGGTTCCAAAGTCTAGCTAAATATTTTTCCAATCTGCTTTATACCAAGCTGCTTCTCTCCCAGGCCAGTTGCCATTTTACCTCCTGACACTGTATCCTTCTTGCAGAAAACCAACCTAATTATATTTTTACTCTCTTCTGGGTTTTGTGTACATATCGCTGATATATGTGGGGACACTCATTCTTACATCTTAGCCGTAGCCTGTATCCAAAATTATGTCCACACTTGTGTAGTCCTAATCCCATGTTTCCCCTCCTCAAAGCCTTCTTTGCATATTTTCGTATTTTTGCAAGGGCTGCTGAGTGGTGGCCTTTTTGTGTCCAACTACATTTCTATTTGAGTGAAGGTGTCCATTAATTGAGGGTAATGCTGCTGCATAGGTAATGTGAACATCACTTAGCTGTGAAAAGATTTAAAATAGGATGCTGGTCCCCGCCACATCACCTGTGAATCATCACCATAGTCCTTTGTGCTCCTTCCTCCCCTGACTTTTCTCCCTCCCCCTTCTCTGCCCACCATGCCTCAGATCTATAGTTTGCTCACAAGTTTTGTCCCTTTTTTTGATCCTTTGTTTGGGTTCCCTATATCCCTCTTATAAATGAAACCATCCAAAGTTTTTCTTTTCTATTCTGACTTATTTCGCTGAGCATAATCTCTTCTAGCACCATCTGTGTTGCTATGATGGCATGGTTTTATTTTTGACTGCTGAATAGTATTCCATTGTGGAAATATACCACATCTTTTTGACCCATTCATTTGTTTTGGGGAATTTTGGTTGTTTCCATATCTTAGCTGTATAAATAGAGCTACAGTAAACATAAGAGTGCAGGTTTCCTTTTGAAGTGATATTTTTGTGTCCTTTTGGTAGATTTGTAGGAGTAGAATCACTAGGTCATATGGTAGATCCATTTTTAGTAATTTGAGGAACCTTCACATAGCTTTCCATAGTGGATGGATTGTTTTGCATTCCCACCGTTAGTTTAAGAGGCTAGTTTTTGATTGTTATTTTAAATATGAGCCATTCTGACCAGTGTGAGGTAAGAATTCATTGTGGTTTTGATAAGCATTTCCCTAATAAGTGATGTTGAGAATTTTTCATATACCTGTTGATCATTTGCATTTCCTCTTTGGAGAAATGTCTTTTTAGTTCTTCTGCCCACTTTTTGACTGGGCTATTTGTATTTTTGTTAAGTTGTATAAATCCTTTGTGGATCTTGTGGATCACACTCTTCTTAGTAGTATGGAGTGCAAATATTTTATTTTCTCCCAACCTGTAGGGTGTGTCTCTCTCTCTATTATTATTATTTTTTTTTGGCGATAGTCTCTTTTGCTCTACAGAGCTTTTAGTTTGATGTACTCCCAGCTGTTTATCTTTTCCTTCATTTTCTTTGCTTCCGGGAATGAGTCCTCAGTGATGTTTCCAAAACATAGGTTGTGGAGTATTGCACCTATGTTTCCTACTATGTATTTAATGGTTTCAGTCTTCTATCTTTTATCCATTTTGAGTTGGTTTTTATGTGTATTGTGAAATAATAATTTGGTTTCATTCTTTGCATGTAGTGGTCCAGTTTTTCCAGTGCCATTTATTAGAGACTTACTTGTTCCAGTACACATTCTTTACTCTTTTGTAATAGGTTAGTTGACTCTATACTTGTGGCTTTATTTTTGGGTTTTCAGTTTCAATTCAATTGGTCTGTGTGTCTGTTTTTGTTCTACTACCATGCTGTTTTAATTATCATGGACTTATAGTATAGTTTGAAGCCTGGGTGGGTAATACCTTTAGTCTTCCTCTTTTTAATCAGGAAAGTTTTGGCTATTCAAGTTTTTTTTCTGTGATTCCATGTGATTTTCAGCATTTTCAATAATTTCTTTGAAAAATTCCATTAACCTTTTTATTGGAAGTACATTGAGTCTGTAAATTGCTTTTGGTGGCATGGCCATAAAATGGAACTGAGACTCCACAAGGTCAAGAGAAAAACCATAGTCCCATGTGACAAAGTAAAATATAATACCATTTAGATGAGCCCCTCAAAAAATGATAGTGCCCTTAGGTTACTTGCATGAAGTTTATAAAATGATTAAAATAGAAGAGGCCAAAAATTTGAGAGAAAAAACAGAATTTGGAAAAGATGTGCTGTAAATTTTGTCTGTAACTGCCCATTGGATGCCTGGTAAAGTTATAGATACAAGCCTCTGATGATGTACCAGAACAGAAAGAAGGGTGACTAGATATATTTATTGGATCGTCAGAGAAGTCATGACATATTCCGTTTTTCAAGCGAAAATGTATCATGACTTTTCTGACGACCCAGTGTATCAATGGGACAAGAATATATGAGTTCTTAAACCTATGTGTGACTTTTGGGATCAGATTTGGGTCCTTTGGCAGAGAAATATGATAGGGAGCTAATTCAGAGTCTGCCCAAGAGTATCTCAGAGTGAAATACAGTGAGATGGGAGGAGGATTGTTTGGATTCCCAGGGGTGGAGGGAGGACATTTCATTCTTGCTACTGGTACTGAATGTTCCCAGAAATATTTACCAGAATCATCCAAGATTGTTAAGCTTTAATGTTCACCAGTACCAAAGAGGACCAGACATAGTCATGCCAAGAGGAAACTAAACAAAGAGCATTTCTACCTTTTTTTCATTTCTTTCTTCCCTTCCTCATATCATCACACTTTGTCTCTAACCCCCAAGGTGCCAGAGGGATTTGAGGTATAGGGAAGAAGTCCAAGGGGAACAACTGAAAAGAAGACAACTGTGTGCCTTTTCTCTCTGAAGTAGAGCAGACCAAAGCAGGCCTAAGGTGTAAGAAAGATATTATTTCATTTTAAATCAAGCTTTAATTAGTGTTAGAGAACAGGTATTTATTTATTTTTAATCTCAATTAGATTCTTCATGAGACAGAATTAACCAGAAAGTTTTGGCTGTGACTCAAAAGTTCTGTATCCTGTCCTGTATTTCATCAAAGAGCATAAAAGTTAGCCTTTTTAAATAACTGTGGTTTGGCAGTAATGGAGGAAGAATAGATGTATTTTCTGATCACTCTTGTAAAATGAGCCATTAGTCATTTGTAAAAAGAGCAGTCTATTCACTCATATCTCTCTAGTCCCTTTCCTTAATTTAGCTTACTTCACAACACTTAAATCACTAGACATATTTTACATTTCCCTGAGAGAAGGGACCTTGGTCTGTTTTGTTCTCTGCTATATCTTCAGCTTCTAGAATAGTGGTTGACACAAAAAGGGTGTTCAAGAAATATTTGCTGAAGGAAGAAGGGAAGGAAGGAATACATTCCGCAAACATTTATTGAAGCCCTATCATTTTGTTTAGTGCTGGAATAAGGAACATTATGCTAAATTACTATGCTAAGTGCTAGAATAAGAAACAGAATTCAAAACAAAGCTCCCATACATCAGTAATTCATGGGATGATGGGGGATTTGGGGGTGAGAGTAGGGAGCATACACCACAGTGGCAAATATATGACCCATGGGTGCTATGATAGAGAGAACATCAGGAGTCTGAATAATGCTGACCCAAAATGGGGGGAAAGGGTCAGACCATTGTAGAAATGGTCCAGTGAAAATTCTCAGTGAAAAGAATTTAAAGAGACCCTCTCTTGGCAGAATCTGGATGATCTTCTCTGGCTTCAGTAGATGACTGGTACCAGAGGAGATGTAGATGATAGATTCACAAGGAAACAATAATTCAAGCCACGGAAATTTGTTAGGTTATCTTACTAGTCTAGATAATTAATGTAAAATAGCATTTTAAATTACATTATTTTGTTTGGGCATTTTATTTTTATTTTATTCAGGTGCTATTTAACTGTACCAGAAAGAGTTCTAAGTAAGCTAAAAATTTCAGGCCTTCTTTAACCACTGTGTCTTCATTTATAAAGTTCTTCACCCAGGGATCCTTATAACATTACCATAAACCCTGCCACAATCACTTAAGACTCTTCTGAGAAAGTGGTGTTTGATGAATCCCATCAAACGCAGAGGGATTAAGTTACATAGCATATTTGATGCTGTGTCATAATAGATGAATGCTCACCTTTCAGGTAAGGAACAAAGAAAACCTGAGTACTTTTATTAAGCAGATATTTCTTATGCAGCTAATGTATCAATGCCAAGGGATTTTTGGAACTAACAGGCAGCTTTGATGAGCAAATTAGGCTGATATTAATATGAATTGCATCATAGTCTACTTCAAGTTTGAAATGGCAAGGAAACAAACAGTACAAAAGTATACTACAATTCTTTTACATTTTATAAATAGACAAAAGATAATTAAATAGCCTTCAAATATGGGCTGTTTTAGTCAATGACAATAAGATATTTAAAAATTAATGACACTAAAAGAGGTATAAAGGGATATTATTATCCTGAACCTGAGAAATTCAATTGTCATTTATTTAATTGGTTCAGATATTTTTTCCTTTGATTGACTTAGTAGAATGGTATTTTGACTACTGTAATCTTGTAGAGGCTTCTAGCATTCAGATTTAAATATTTGAAAGTGCTCATGAATAATTTTTGTAAATAGAATGATTTTAAGTTTTTAACTTCCATTTTTTTAAGAAGAACCACCTTTACAAAGATGTTTGGGGATAGTGGACATTGAGTATGGTATCATCTTGCTTCTTTCTCCATAATTGCTGAGTTTAGAGTTGATGCCATGCTTCTATTAATAAATTGTGCTCTGGACCTACTTTGAATTGCCTTATATAATATCAGTACAGTTACATCTACCTGTTTCAGGAATTCTGTGTACAGTTTGGCACATTGAATATGTTTTCCTTGTTTTCTGCAGCTGTGGGTTTATTTATTCTATGAAATCTCTTTCCAGTCATTTTTTAAAAAATTTATTTATTTGTGCATACGAACTGAGGTACAGGCCAGAGGCTCAGGGGTGGCGAGAGGCTTCACCAGAGACAGAGTGGGGAGCAGAACAGGCAGATGGACGAAGTACACTGCTGAGGAGAGCAGCGGGCGGGTCAGGAGAGGTCTCTATGCTATGTGGTCACCTCCGGGGCAGGCGGGAATCGAACTCATGTGGAAGTGGCTTCAGCTTCTCAGTGCTGTGCTTTAACCCGCTGCACCGCCAAGGAGGGCCTCCAATCATTTCTAAGGTTTTGAAACAGAAATGAAGTAGGCATTCATCATTTTGATCCCATCACCATTCACTGCAATTCTTTTGCTATACCATAATTATGATATGATATGAAACTTTAAAGGAGCTAGATTTTATTTCTCATGTATATTAGTTTACTTAATCAGGTGTAACACTTATGGTGAACAAACAGGACATGTATAATAAAGGACTCATAAATAGGATTTTAACAAAGTTACAATCATACATACACAAACTATTTTTTGCTTCACTGCCTATTTACCCTATATTGTGGAGTTAGTTCTTTCTCTATTCCTGGATAAAATCTGTACATTTCCCATATTTTTGTGGTCACTCACAGATAATAAAAAAAAATCTATTGAAAACATTTCAATAATTAAAACATCTCAAAATGATGAATTTCATTTGAGCTTAAAACTTTTTCTCTCCTTCAGGCAAGGAAGTCTACAGAGGGAAGAATGGGGTTGGGGGGAGAGGTTTAACCTATTTTCCATTTCTTTATTTTGCTGATCATTCTCTTGGGTGACTAGATAACTAAAAGATCCTCTTGTGATTATTCTACCGATATCCGTTACTTAACTAAGGCCATTTTTGTTACAATAAGTAGTTTTGTTATTTGAAAAGTTTGGCACTTGGGCAAGATGTATATATTCTAGAGACAGTGAAAGAACCGCCCCTAAAGGATAGCTTGAAAGGGTAATGAAAAAATTGGAATAAAATTACTTTTCTGATGCCTCCCATGAGTTTCAGTTGTTCAAAATAGTGATTGGTATTTTTGTGGGAAGGGGACTTCTCTATTTCTCTGAGCTCCCTTAGATAATCTGTATGTGGCATTACCAAGTTCACGGATACATGAAAACACAACCATAATTTACAAGAGTTAATTTCTAATGAAGGCAAAGCCTATTGTATTAACCTGAAGTGAACCAAAGTCATATTGTTAGAGCTTTGATACTGATACCCTTGAAGCTAGATGTCCCACGTTCTAAAAAGTTCCTTCTCTCTCTTATTAGGTTGAAAATAGGGATTAATATAAAATAAGATTCCATTAGTTGGTGGTATATGAATTCGCTTAGTGGTGGTGAGTTCTAATTCTCTGCTGTGAATATTCATATTCATGATCTTTGAGAGTTTTGTATGGAGAAAATACTAATTTTTTGTTACCCATTTTTGTTCCTAAAGTCCCTATTATACTTCTGAAATTTGTTCGAGTATATCTCATAATTTGAAGTTTTTAATCATAGTAGTAGTTACTTGATAATTCCTTGAATTAACCTCTGTGATAGAATGGATACTTATGATGGTATCTGAAGTTCTACATGATTTACAATGTGATTGCTACAAATAATTTTTTTCTTAAGTTACTTAAAACTTACTAACCTGGAGAAAGAGAGAACAGATAGTATTTACTTGAAACCACCACTTTCCATTTCATAAAAACAAATTGATTTTTATTGTCCAACAATAAATAGTAAGGATTATCATTTTAACACATTTCTGATGAAGTACATGACTACTGAAAGATGCTGCTTATTTTTTGTCAATGGAGTCAACTTTTAAAATAAAAATGAACTTCAACCAAATTGTATTTTAGGAACTGACCATTTTGGCAGTCAACTTATTTTTTCCTTATATGTGGTTTCTCTTTTTCCAGATTTGGATATCAGAATCACATGAACAGATGTCACAAATTTATTTAAACAAAGAATTGGCTAAAAGAAAGAGCAAAGCTTTACTGAATGAGGAGACAATGAGCTCTGGGATTGTTCAAAGGTATTTTTACTATTATTTTTCTTAATTTACAGAACATGCACATGCAGAAAAGGATTTGTGAAGTGGTGAAGAGGTCTGGTAGTGGCTTTAGCTAGATGGTACAGGAAGACATCAAGCACAGAAGCACCTCTCATGCTTCCAAGTTTCGCTTGTGCTTTGCCCTCAGTTTGGTGTTCTCTTATTTCCTTTCCCTCATTTGTTTGCCAGTCACTGCTACTCATTTTGGGACCAGCTAATGTCCTTTCCCCTTTACACATTTTTTTTTTTTGATCAGAGTTCTGACTGTCAAGATCTGAACTCCAGTTCCACAATTTATTTGGGGAGTCTACTTCATGTCTGTAATCCTTTTTTTTTTTTTTTTTGCTTTTAAAATGGGAATTACAAACATCTACTTCAAAGGACTGTTATGAAGTTTATATGAAATAATACATGACATGTGCAGAGAAGTATGCTTGACATGTAGTAAGGATTAGTCGCTTGTAATGAAAATTAATTGCTCTTGTATCCTTGCCATCTGAGCACTTTATGTGCTACATAGCAGTTGGACTTAACATTCATTATTTATATGCGTGGGTTTCTCTCAGGAAAGAAGAGCTCCTTACGGGCAGAGATTTGTTCTTAGTTATAACTATAGTCCTGCAGCCTGGAAGTCTTCCCTGGATTTTGTGATATATAGTTTGTCTTTTATTGCAGTTATCAGAAGACACAATCAAAGTAATGCAAAATACTGAAATTTTCATTTATTTGTTGGATTGTTTTATTTTGAATTTAAAAGTACTCACAAAAATTCAGCCCCAAATTAATTTAGTATGACTTTAAAAAGTTTATGAGTGTCAATCTGACATGTTTTCTAAAAATTATTATCTTGTTTTCAGGGACACTGGATTGCCTGCAACAGGCTTTGGAGCCATCTTTACTAGACACCCACCAGATCAAGGCAAAATGTTAGTCCTGAAAATGCTGCATATTATACATTATGTTTCTTACTAATTCAGGAGGTTTGTTTTTAGGCTTGAAGGGGTGAGGAGTATACCAGGTAAAAAAAAAAAATGACCTTTCCATGTCATCTCTTCAGTGATAACTCTCCTTTAGCAAAAGTTCCTTTTCAGTTAATATGCAAGCATTAACAATAATAACATTGAGAAACAACAACAATATTAATATCTATAATAATACAGTCAATCTCATTATTAATAGGTTCCATATTTATAAATTCTGCTCTCTAAATTTTATTTTTTAATCCAAAATCAATACTGGCAGTTGCTATAGTCATACACAGACATGACTAGAATAGTGAAAAATTTGAGCCAGCCAATGTACATGTTCCCATATTTAAGGCTGAACAAGGCAAAACCCTATTTTCACAATTCAGCTCCCAGACTGTAAATAAATGTCCTTTTCATGGTCTCTTTTGTGCCAGTTTTGCAATTTTTGTTGGTGATTTTGCTATTTGAATTGGCCCTTTTGTGCTAGAGTGCTACCTAGTGTCCTAAGCAGGAGGAGGTTGTGATATACCTTAAAGAGACACATCACCCTCACAGAAAAGACAGTAACCATGCCTCCCTTTTCAATGGGTAATGTATATAGTCATCAGATCAGAGACTACTTATAGTCTGAGATATAGTCATCAGATCAGAGACTACTTATAGTCTGAGGAATAATATAAAGTTCCAGTTTTTTTTTTAAAGATTTATTTATTTATTCATACAGAACTGGGGTACAGGCCAGAGATGTGTAGGGTGAGAGGAATCACCAGAGACAGAGTGGGGAGCAGAACAGGCAGATCAATGAAGTACACTGCTGAGGGGAGCAGCAGGCGGGTCAGGAGAGGTCACCTCCGGGGCAGTCAAGGATCAAACTCATGTGGAAATGGCTTAAGCTTCTTAGTGCAGTGCTTTAACCCACTGCACCACCAGGGAGGACCCTAAAGTTCCAGTTTTTAAAGAATCATGGCCCATTAAGGAATAAAAGCATTACAAAGAATGAGAAGAAACAGGCAACCTATACAGAGGAAGCAGACCTGATGGAACAAATAAAACAGGAATTTAAGACCAATGGAGCATAAATAAAGGTTTATTAACTAAGGAAGTGAAACAATTACAAACATAAGGCAAGATAATAAAAATCAGATTGACATTACCTGTTCAACAACAACAATGGAAGCAAGAACGTAACATTAAAATGTTGAAGGATTTTGACCCTAGAAGTATTTAAATGTTAATGTCAAATACTGATATATATATGTGTTTCATCATTATATATCTATATATATATAGACACACGTTTTATTTATATATAAATAATATTTATATTTTATATAAATATATATTCATATAAATAATATATACGCACACACACACATATATATATATATGACAGTTACTATAGTCATACACAGACATACACATACACATACACCAGCATACAAAGACTGGTTTCAGACTTACTTACTGCCACAAATAACAGAGGGCAAAATATATTAGGCAACTGTTGTCAAGTGTTGGATAGCAACCACTGCAGCACTGTGTTCCTTGAGATAGTAGGAAAGAGGGAGGTAACCACCTTCTCCCAGACTTACTCAGCTCAGGGAAGTGATACCAGGTGATCCCTAATTTTGAGCAGGAAGAGGGAAGAGGAATTCATCAGGCAAGGTATTGGAGAGAGGGAAGCTTCAGGTTCTTGGTCAAGGACAGGGTTTTGTATGCACAATCAGAATAGTACATACTCTGTTTTCATAAAACCAAATATAAATGTCTGTAGTGCATTCTGAAATTTCAGAGTGGTGCTGCCTTCTGTGGGGTGGTATTATACATGATGGGGCTACACTATTTGCCCATAAGTACTGGCCCTGCCACCTATTCACTGTGTTATCTTGGGCAAGTTGCTTAGCCATTTTGTACCTCAGTTTCTTTATTTGTAAAATGTGTATAATAACTATAAAGGAGTCTATTTTTTTTTAAATTATTTATTCATATAGAACTGGGGTACAGGCCAGAGATGCAGAGATTGAGAGTATTCACCAGAGACAGAGTGGGGAGCAGCACAGGCAGATCGATGAAGTACACTGCTGAGGGGAGCAGCGGGCAGGTCAGGAGAGGTCTGACACACCATGTGGTCTCCTCCGGGGCAGGCGGGGATCAAACTCATGCCGAAGTGGCTTTAGTTTCTCAGTGTTGTGCTTTAACCCGCTGCACCACCAGGGAGGGCCAGGAGTTTATTTTTTTGTGCTATAAAGGAGTCTATTATGATGATTAAACAAATTAATATATATAAAATAATTACAACAGTACAACTTTTACATATGTGATAAGTTCTTTGTAAGCCAGGTGAGACACTTCGTATGAACCCTGTTAGTCTAGAAACTCTTATCAGTTCAGGGAAATAGTTTTGATTTGTTTCATTGATGTTTTATGCCTTCCATTTTCTCTTCTTGAATTCTCCTTTTATAAAAAGGCTTATTTTTATTTTCATTTACTTATTTATTTATTTATTATATAAGAACTAAGGTGTAGGCCAGAGGTGTGGGGGTGAGAGAATTCACCAGAGACAGAGTGGTGAGCAGAATAGGCAGATCTACTCAAGTACACTGCTGCGGGGAACAGCAGGTGAGACAGAAGAGGTCTGCTGTGCCATATGGGTTAGCTCCCTCGCTGGGGATCAAACTCATGCCACCAGAGAGGTCCCAGAATCCTCTCTTTTTTGAAAAAAAAAAATTATTTTAAATATATTTATTACATCGTCCTTCATTTTTGTACAATGTATAATTTCCCCATGAAATTACCACCACCAGTTTACCCAAGCACCATCACCATAGTCCCTTGTGCTCTTCCCACTCCTGTCCTGAGAATCCTCTTTTTGATGTTGGATTGCTTATCCAATCTTCTAATTTTCTCATCTTTTTTCTATTTTATTTTTGTCTTTCCTCTTTGTTCTCTGGCCTACAAGAACTGAGGTATAGGTTAGAGGGGTGGGGGTGAGGTAGAATGGGGAGCAGAATAGGCAGATCTACTCAAATTCTTTTTTTGAATTCTTTTTTTTTTTTCCCCTGAATCCATGACTGCAGTATATTCACTTATCTCTCTGGGGATATTGATGATAATTTACTTTTTTTAAATATATTTTTTCCATGTATAGTCTCTTTTTCCTCCAGTATGCTTCCTCTTCTCTCTCACCCCTGGCCCCTGTTCTTTGTATGATATCTACCTTTATGCTAGTGGCTTTTCTCAAATGTTTGAGAATCCACCTTTTGTTTTCTGGTCATGATTAAGAGATGAGGCTCTGAATATGTAAGTCTTGCTGATGTAGAATTTCACTGGAGTAATGTAAGGGGGAGTCTTTTTTTTTTTTTTCCCAGAAGCTCTCATGGCAGTATTTAGTTTTTCATTGTGGGCTAGTCATATTCCCCAGAGGAAACTCCTCTAATCACCATCTGTAGAGTGAAGGGCTGACACTGGTGTTTTGGAATAAGCAAGGCAATTGGCTAGGACATCAATATTAATCCTTTGTGTTTGGTCAGTGAACCGTGTTTTGATCAAGACTTTTCTCTTTTACCCTTTCCAATGAACAGTTTTTCTAGCATCTTGCTCTTTCCCATTCCTCCTTGCTGATTTAGGATTTATTCAGCTTTCTGCCAAGTCAGAGATCACTTATCTATCTTCTCTTCAGCTTCCAAAATTTGTGGGGTTTTTGGTCCCTTTTTCTGTTCTTGTTTGTGTGGGTTTGTTACTTTTTAAAATCTCTTTAATGTAGTTTCAGTGTTTTTTTGTTAAGGAAGCAAACTGCAAAGTATATTTTCAATTTTAACTCTGAAGACATCAAGTCTCATCTGAATTGTCACCTCCTTCAGAGGATCTTTCCTTCCTACTGCCACCACCATACCCATGACTTTGCAATTCCCTTGAATGTGTCCATAGCGCTGTGTTCTTTTATCCAAACATTTTTCATCTTAATTGCAATTACTTACATTCATCTCTGTTTTTCTTGTTAAATTCAATGCTCTGAAAGTCAATACTATTGCAGTTCTACCTCTAGTGCTTTGCTAAAGAGAGCTTGACCTACAGCAGATGCAAAATAGGTACTTATGGAATGAATGAATGATTATGTTGAATTGCAAATTCTAATGGGAAATGGATTTGACTAATTTCTACCTTACTGATTTGGGGTTTCAAGAGTTTAGAAATGAGTTGTTCTTGATTATATTCGGTAAGTATATTTAAAAAATGGCCATCTCTTAGAAAAATCTAAGTTTGATTTGCTAGAATTCTTGCTTTTTTCATATTATTTGAGTATTAGGAAAGAAACAGATACCTACGTACCTTACTTCCCTCCACTAATTCCATTAGTAGTTCTTTCTTTCTGTCCATTTATACTAATTATAGGTTTCTTCATATAATAGACTACTCTGGTGTTTTAGAATCCATTCTCTTAGATATTAAATATTCTTTTGCTTCTTTCAACTGTGTGGCTGTGGAAGTTAAATGTCAACTTTAAAAGACAATGAATAATAATGACTGCTCAATGGACCAAAATAATGTGCTTCAGCTTATAAAAGAAAAACTGTAATCATAATGTAAATTTCAACCTTAGGTTACCTCTTAAAAAATAACAATATAGGTATTGCTTTATTGTTAAGATGATGTCAAATGCATTTATCTAAATTTTCAGATGACCTCTATTGTGTCATAATTACATTTGGCAGCCTTTTTCCCCCCTCCCAATACAACCCATAGCACACATTCTTTATTTTGAATCTATATAAAGAACATTTTTCTTTAATCTAGCAGGACATATTTCTGGAACATAATAAAAATCAGGATGACTAGAATATTTGATACCGGTTAGATTTAGCATTCCTAATCTTTATTTTTTTTTTTTTTAATTTTTTTTTTTATTTATTCATACAGAACTGGGGTACAGGCCAGAGGCTCAGGGGCGGCGAGAGGCC